AGAGTTCAGGGCCAGCCTGGGCTACAAGCCAAGACCCTGTCTCAAAACAGCAAACACAAACATGAATCCTGAGGTTAAAAATTATCCTGGTCACATCCAATTGAGGAAATTTCAACTTAATGTCCTTCATGAGAGCATTTGACCCTTGTGGATGTGACTCATCACACTTGATCTTTGCCAAAGGGCCTAGGGGTCTTGTAGGTGTGGTTTCCAAACTAATTTGATATGTCCCGAGAAATGGATTCTGTGATGACTGAGGTGAGTGCATGGACTCATTCTGAAGGAACCTCCTAGTTTCTATGTGCCTTTATTTTGGTACTCTAAGCAGTCACTGTGGGCATTTCTTGTTTGTAGGAAAGCAGTGCACAGTGTACCACGGGCTGGGAATACAGCAGTAGGCAGACAATGTGCTTGTCAGTGGAGAATATAAGTGGTTATAGACCGGAAAGGATTAGGAGATAGGAAGGGTTGGGTTAGGGAGGTGAGATTTCGGTTGCATTTCAGGCCCAGAAGTGTTTGTGATAAAGTGGCATTGGACCTGAAGGAATCAGTGAGCCATGTGGACAGTTGAGGAAGAGTACTCGAGAGACAGAACGACTAGAATCTAAAGGTTGCTCGAGCAAGTGAGGTCAGAGGTGTAGGGTGGGGTCAGTTTGTGGTTAGTCAGTGGGTAGTTTAAAAAGTTTTGGCTCCTAGTGAGTAAGGTAGCTATTATTGGGTATGTAAAGGAAAGACATGAAGTGATAAGGTTGGTGCAGATGTGGGAGGAGGGATTGGGAATTTGGTTTTTTTTTTCTTGTCTGATGCTTATTAGCTATGTAGAGCAGCTGAGTGCGTGCTTGCAACATTACTGAAATCAGGAGAGGCACAGCTGGATAGCTAAATTTAGGAGCTATCAGTGTATGGATTTTTAAATGATGCTCATAGAAGATTTTAATAGAAGAAATTGGGGGGAATTTGTGTGAATGATGTGCTTTCTGCTCATTTTTTTGGACCTGAAACTGCCAGAAACACTTATTTGAAATAAACAATTTACTTTAAAAAAACAATGTTTTTTGCTGGGTGGTGGTGGCACACAACTTTAACCCCAGCTCCAGGAAGACAGAAGTAAGTGGATCTCTGAGTTTGAGGACCCCCTGGTCAACCGAGTTCTAGGATAGTCAGGGCTAAACAAAGAAACCCCGTCTCAAAAAGCAAAAGTTTTTAAAGGCATAAGAAGAGAACACTTAGGCTTTGAGTATATCAGGAGCAGGCAAGATGGCTTGGGGTAAAGACCTTTGCCACCATGGCAAAAGACCCAAATGAAGTCCTTGGGACCCATATGGTGGAAGGAGAGAACTATCTCCTGAAAGTTACCCTCTGGCCACCTGCATTGTGCCATACACACGTGTACACACAAAGAAATAGGTGCAATTTAAAAATTGACAAACGGGCTTGGGGGTTTAGTTAAGCTGTAAAGCACAGGTGTGAGTGAACACACACACAGTCGAGTAATTGTTAGGCACAGTACTGGACAACTGAAGTGTCTGCAACTCAGGAGGCTGAGGCAGGAGGATAGTTTGAGCCCAGGATTTTGATCAGCCTGGGCAACGTTGTGAAATCTTGTCTCGAAAAAGGAATGTTCCAGGACATTCCAGGGACAGTGGTCAGGGAACAGGCAGGGGCCTGTTGAAGCAGTGGGCTAACCAAAGAGGAGTACTCAAAGTCAACTGGAAAAGCAGTTTTAAACAGGGAGGTCTCAGCTGCACACATGGAAGAGACAGGAGCACCTACTGCAGGCATGGGTGGACCAGTGTAGAGCACACACACAACATGGCTAGTATTTATACAATAAAACAAAGATATTCCTTGCATTGCACAGGGGTCTGGGAGGAACCAGACTGTGGGGAGGGTGCTGACCCACATGCTACGCAAAAAGGTTCCAGAGAGTGCTGGGCTCCCCAGGAGGCGGCCCAATGTGAAAACTAGAGAAGGAAGTCGAGGAAAAGAGTGACTGCCTCTGATGACAGCCAGGCAGTGGCAAAACCCCTGGGAAGACAGACTTTTCCCCCAAATATTAATGTGTATAAATGTTTTGTCTGTGTGTATGTCCATATACCACACACATGCAGTGCCTGAGGGATCAGACCCTCTGGAATTGGAGTTACAGGGATGGTGTGAGGTGGATGCCAGGACTTGAAACTAGGTCCTTTGCAGGAGCAATCAAACTGGTTTTAAAGCTGTAATATTTCCAACACCATACAGCTTTAAAAGCAGTTTGGTTTGAAAAACTTTGTTCACCTATGAAAGTCTGTAATACTACATAACCACAAGAGAGCGTGCTTTCCCTGCCAGAATTCACAGGATTTTTTTTTTTTTTTTTTGAAAAATAAAACTAAACAAAAGCAGCCACCACTTGCCTAAAAGCTCAGCTATGGCTGAGTGCCAAATAAAGCTAGTGCCAAATTCTGCAATCTGAATTTTTTTTTAACAAAATCAAAGTGTTTCTCTCCTAGTGATATGTTCTAGCAGTAACAAAACCACAGGGTGATGCTGAAGGAACAGATAGAACGCTTCAAAGTTAAGGTATTTAATAGCTAGATTTCAGGTGATTCTTCTGGAAGGGTTCCGTCACAGGGAGCAAGTAGGGGTGAAAAGGGCTAAATGAATGTGGACGGAACCCCTCCTGGAATACACCTAACCTTAGCTCATCATTACAGTGACTGGTGGACACGGGGGCACCCCACACTGCTCTCCATTTGAATGCTCATTCCTCTTCCCATGATGGCCAAGCTGGAAAGAATTTGGGAAAGAAATGGGGAAAGTGTTCTTAGTGGAGAATTCCCTGAACAGGCTGAAGATCCACCTGGGCCCGGTGCCAGCCACCTGGCTAAGACGACATTTTGTGTAGGCACCAAAGGGACTCTGTAAGGTCAGTGGCTATGCACATGAGATCACAATAACCAGCAATTAGCGGGCACCGAGTCATAAGAATGGGTTATCAGTAGCGAGGAAGGCAGAGAACACATTCTGCCCAGTGAACTCTGCAGGAAATATCTGCAGTGACGTTCAGTGGCCAAAGTCATCATGGGACTTGGAAATATGTCAGACAGACATGGTTGAGTCAGGCAACAGTCTAATGCTCTCTTGGGCCTTAGGTTTTTTTGTTTTTTGTTTTATATTTCTAACCTTCCATTCTAGTCATGCTATGAACACATGCACACTTCCACGCTGCTCTCTCTCTCTCTCTCTCTCTCTCTCTCTCTCTCTCTCTCTCTCACACACACACACACATACACACCTTCAAATTCTTTCTTGCTGGTGTTTGCCTTTCCCAGAATCATTCCTGTTCACCCTGGACCCTGGCTTACAGTGTCTTCCTTGCCCTTGGACATTTATTTCTTATTAGAGGTTTTTGGAAACCAAGGTGCTGGAAAACCATACAAGTCCTTTGCTCCTGCCCCAAGAGCCTTATGAAGCCTGGCCTCACGGGCTCTTAGGATGCTGGAACAGAAGCAAACTTGGGAAGGGGGTATTGCAAAAATAATGATCTTGAGTATTTATAAGTGACTCTCATTCCACCACAGCCCACAGCCTGGTCAGGAGAACAGGTCATGCCATGGAAGTGTGTGTGTTCCAGAGACATGGGAAAGGACTCTGTGCGCGCGGGTGCGTGCGTGCGTGTGCGTGTGCGTGTGCGTGTGTGTGTGTGTGTGTGTGTGTGTGTGTGTGTGTGTAGGCTAAACGTCAATTTTGGGTGTTATTCCTTAGAGACCCCCCCCTTTTTTAAAAAAAAAAACATTGTCTTTCATTAGCCTTGTAGCTAACCAATTAGGCTATATTGTCCAGCTAGTGATCCCCAGGGACCAGCCAGTCTCCACATCCCCAGTTCTGGGATTAAGCTCATGTCACCTGACTCAAGTCCTTAAGCTTCGGTGGCAGGTACTTCACCAACTGAGCCATCTCCCCAGCCTCCCGAACTGACTCCTTCTATCAGGGTTCTTTCCCCAGGTTCCTGGGCTGGGTGTGGGGTCGGATGGGAACATGAGCACAGGACTCCGACTTTCTCGAGTTTCAGACTGTGTGGCTAGACCCTCTCCTCTCTGAGGTCCACTCTGATTTCAAAGGCATATGTGCAACCGTTCCCCCATTCTTTCAATCCCCTGGATTCTTCATTGGGGTTGGCGAGTGGTACTGAAACCCCAGGTCCTGTCAAAACATGCTAGAAGCTGTAGGGCCCCATGTCTGTCACCCTGCTGACCCTGAGGGCTCCCAGATGGAGGCGCTCAGACCCACAAAAAGGCTAGCCACCAAGTGGCGCAGCTGTCCACACTTGGTTCTCATATTTCCTGCTCAGCCCTCAGCCACTGCCTGGGTCTGCAGGCCCAGCGGATTGGAAGCCCCCCTCCCTCCGGCTCTGAAGGAGGCTGGGCCAGCCAGGGGGTTATTTTGGGAGCAGCTTCTGAGATCCAATGGCCTTGTTAGGGCAACACTGACCTTTCTATCCTGGGAGGAAGGCAGGGCTGGAGAAGGGGCGGGGCAGCCGGGAGATCTGAGCCTCACGCCCACTGGGGTGGATGAGAAGGGGGCCAGCGGCTGCTTCAGGGTGGGCAGCAGGAATTCAGCCTTGGCTAGGCTGCTAACTCGCAAATTGCTCCTCTTTGAAAAGACAGGACTCCTCTACTTCTTTCACTTCTCTTCTTAAAGAGGGCACACCGGATTCCATGGAAGCTGGACCTGGGACGCTTTGTGGGAACTTGGAGCCTCTTCTGTCGGCTTCCTTTCCAGTTGCAGCCTTGCTGGGATGACTGAGGGGGCCTCCCAGCCATGGCACTGACCAGGGCCCCCACTGCTGACTTGGTCTTTGGTCTCTTTCAACCTCTACAAGCATCTTGCTTTTTCCCCCTTTCTGGAGCCCAGTGGTGAATCTAGGGACTCTCAGCCTGAAGGTGCCTGGAGAGCACCAGGTATCCCAACGGCCCAAGCTGGAGGACCGGGCCGGTGTCAGGAGTGAGGATGAGATGAGCGGGGGCCGCTTTGACTTTGACGATGGTGGAGCGTACTGTGGGGGCTGGGAAGGGGGGAAGGCACATGGGCACGGACTGTGCACTGGCCCCAAGGGCCAGGGTGAATACTCAGGCTCCTGGAATTTTGGCTTTGAAGTGGCGGGCGTCTACACCTGGCCCAGTGGGAATACCTTTGAGGGATACTGGAGCCAGGGCAAACGACATGGGCTTGGCATAGAGACCAAGGGGCGCTGGCTTTACAAGGGGGAGTGGACACATGGCTTCAAGGGGCGCTACGGAATCCGGCAGAGCACGAGCAGCGGTGCCAAGTATGAGGGCACTTGGAACAATGGCCTACAGGACGGCTATGGCACGGAGACCTATGCAGATGGAGGTGAGCCTGGTTCAGCCTGTAAAGCTTGAAGGGGGTCCAGAAGGGGCAGTGGGAAAGGACAGGGTAGTTGGCGAAGAAACAGATGGTCTAGGGTGATATTTGCTGTGTGGTTTTGGGTAAGCGACTCTGCCTCTCTGGATCTTTTTTGTTTTTTTCAAGACAGGGTTTCTCTACATAGCTCTGGCTGTCCTGGAACTCACTTTGTAGATCAGGATGGCCTCAAGCTCACAGAGGTTTCCCTGCTTCTGCCACCTGAGTGCTGGGATTAAAGCCCTGTGATACCACACCCAACTGTTTCTATTTTCTTACCAGTAAAGGTGGGACAATCAAAGGGTTATTGAGAAGACTGGCAGAAATGATTAGTACAAGGCTGTCATGTAAATATACACTCATCAGACACTTGATAAGATATAATAGTTTTTTTACTTTTGGAGTATGCAAACAGCTAGATTTTTGCTTGGGTTTTAGCAGAACTGGGGGTTGGCCTCAACTTTGCTATGAAAATTCCGTTCACAGGATATATCCTAAGAGTGTCTGTTCATTCATTTCTCCATCTATCCATCCACCAGCCCACACATCCAACCACCCACCATTCTTTCACCATTTACACATCTGCTATTCACCCACCCATCTATCCACCAACTCATTCACCCATTCACCAACTCATCCATCCACCAACCCAGACATCTAACCAGCTATCATCTCTTCCCCAATATATCCACCCACACATCCACCCACTTACACTATCCATTCACCTATCCATCCACCAACTCATCCATCCCTCCATCCATCCACCCAGATGCTATTCACCTGTCCATCCATCCATCCACCCATCCATCCATCCATCCATCCACTCAATATAGTCTTTCATCCAACACATATTTCTAGGCAAATGATCTCCATCCCCAGCTTTTCCAGTGTGTATTTTGGTGGCACCTCCTATTTGTCAGTCATTACACCAATGATTGAATACAAAGAGGACTAGGACACAGACTCTGGCTTCAAGGATAGTCAGGCAGGCAGGCAAGCAGGCAAGCATTATACACAAACATGTCAGAGACTGGTGGCAGAAAAGAGTGGTGAGGGCAGGCTTTCAGGACAATTCCTGAGCTAGATTTTGGTGGGAGTGCTATGATTATGAGAGTAGGAGTTGGGGACTGTGCCAGCAGAGACGGGGCGTGAAGAGGCTCAGAGTGCATAATGGTTCAAGAAAATATAGAGGAGTTTTCCGAGGCAAAAGAGCACTGGGGAATGTCAGTGCAGATACCTCACTTCACCTGCAGGGTGTGACTTGGACACGTAGTTTACCTGAGCCTTCGTTACATCATCCACATAACGGAGCACTCAGGACGCTGATACTCAAAATGTGGGCGAAGCACAGACAACACCAGCTTCTACCCTCAGGCAAAGGTGCAAGTTCAGGGCTCACCAGAACTTCTGTGAGCAACAAAGGCTGCTTTAACTCGCTCACTGTTGGGTATTCCCATGATACTTTCCTGCTGTGGGGTGTGACTCAAAACTGTGGCACTTTAGAAGATAATTATACTTGGCATGAGAAACCACTTGTAGGATTTATTCCTCTTTGTGACAGAATGTGGGAAAAGGGCATTCTGAGTGTGGCGAGAGGAAGCAGGGCCAAGCAGCAGCAGCAGCGTCCTGGGAGAGTTTGCTCAGGCTGAGACGAGATTGAGCGCACAACTTGAGGTGCAGGATAGGGCCACGCCTGGGTGAGGAGCTGCCTTCAACTCTGTCCCTCCAGCTTCTTAGAACATCTCTGTAGAACTGATGGAACTGGATTGAACTGAGGACAAATTCTAGTGACCCTGAGTCATTCATTAAGCCTCTAACTCAGTGTGGTTCGGCTCCGCAGACGTTTATGTTGTGCATGGCACTAGGCACCCGAGGCTCGGCAGAGAGCAAATGTCAGTTTCCCAGCAATAAAATGGACACAGGCCTTGAGTACGTATAGAGTGTCAATCATCTGTGTGAAAAGGTGCATGGTGGCATGTGCCCAATGTCCTTTCCTGTATCTCTTCTCTCTTTCCAAGGACGTGAAACACAGGGCTACATATTGCTGGGGTGGGGTGAGCACAGGGTATGATGGGCTGCTCTGCCAATATGTCTTAAAGAAGGAAGCCGATTCATCCCTGCAGTCAAAGGCACTAACCACTGGTATTGTGGCATACCAAGTGCTAGGGACTGGATTAGGGAGCAGACACGATCCTCCAGAAGCTGGTTTAGTGAAGGAGACAGAAGTAAACCAAGAAATACACTGCCTTCTCTCTCTCTCTCTCTTTCTCTCTCTCTCTCTCTCTCTCTTTCTCTCTCTCTCAAGGTTATCATTAGAGAAGGAAGAGGGTGGTTGCACGAAGTGGTCTCAGAAGCAGGTTGGGGTGGGGAGGACTAGAGAGGAGAGCCTTTCAATCAGGGAGTGGAGATGCAGAGGCCCTGAGGTGGGGCCAGGCTCTGCTCAGCGTGTCTGAAGAACCAGGAGGCTGAGGCAGAAGTGCCGACTGGAATGGCAGACATAGGCTGGATGACCCGAGTTTGGGGTTTGAGAGTTTGTGGGTCTTGGGGTTTGAGCCCAGGTATGTCCTGGAGCTCTTGAGGCCCAGGTGGTCCAAAGGCCAGCCGCTCTGCTTTGCCCAGCCTTCTCCTCCCCAGGAGGCCCCACATCCAGGGACCCGGGAAACCTTTCAGGTTCTCTCTCTGAAGCCACACGCAAGGCGTAACCCTCCAAATTTAGATGTGGCTGCTGCTTCGGAAAATGTCTTTAATCAACCTGTCATCAGTCCCCTGAGGGTTTGCTAAGGACTTGCCCCTTGCCCTCTCCTGGGTGGCACCAAGAGGAATGAGGACAAATAAGATCCTAAGATTAGGAGCAGGTGGGGGCAAAACAAGTCCCAGGTTATGACCCTGCCTCAAGGGATTATTTCCAAGCCTTGGTTTCCTCATCCATGAATGAACCACTCCTAATCTCTCCTATGATTTAAAAATATTATGATTACATTTATTTGGGGGGTGGCAAAGTAATTGTGATCACCTCAGCATGTATGGAGGTCAGAGGACAACTTGTGAGAGTTGGTTTTCTCTCTCCATGACATATGACCTGGAGAGTGAACTCGAGTTAACAGTTTCAGAAGCAAGTGCTTTTACCTGCTGAGTCAGCTAGCTAGCCCTCTTATTTATGTCACACGAGAAAAATGACAGAATTCAGTAAATGGTAGTTATTGTTGTTGTTATTAAGAGTATCAATTCAAGCTGGGTGTTAGTGGCTCATGCCTTTAATCCCAGCACTCGGGAGGCAGGAGCAGGCAGATCTCTGTGAATTCGAGGCCAGCCTGGTCTACAGAGCAAGTTCCAGGACAACCTCCAAAGCAATATAGAGAAACTCTGTCTTGAAAACAACAACAACAAAACACACACACACACACACACACACACACACACACACACACACACACACACACAACCCTAAAACAAACAAACAAAAAGATTATCAATTCATTCAATAAGCATATATTGTATTTTGCAAAGCAAGCACTACACTTTACTGAGAAGTGTAGAAAGGACAGAATGATTGAGCCAGGAATGTAACAGGAGCCACTTATCACAGTGGCCAGTGCTAGGCAGGGCCAGGTGAGGGACTAGAGCAAGGGGCTGGGACTTCAGCATTGGGATGACTTTCTGGAGTAAGCGGTGAGCTAAGCCCCATCGCAGGTTCATTAGTGGGCTGGACCACTCTTGGTTGAAAGGACAGAGTCCACAAATGCCTGGAGGCCCAAAGCTTGCTCCTCAGTCTCCACAGACAGTTGAAACTTGCACCTTGTCTGGTTTATTGAGAAGCTGCCTTGCCTTGCAGTTAGCTGTGACTAAACCCAAGCAAACCTCAGCTTTCCAGACTGGAGGTGATGGTTTGTTGGTTTGTTGGTAGACAGATCAATCTAGTGGGTCAGGGCCTACATTTTTTGGGTTGAAAGCCTGGTAGGTTTAGAACAGAAACTATTGGAGCCTTTCATTGAGAACAAGATGAAGCATGATTTCCTGAAAAAAGTTTAATTGAGGTTATATATGTACACATTCATGTTCATAATGTATAAACACATATTTGTATCATGTGTATCTTTAAAAAATTATGTTTATTTGGGTCATGTTGTAAAAGTGTTTGTTACTGTAGGGAATGGCCAAAAAGGTTGAAAGCTCCTGTTCTAAAGCAATTTGCCCAGCACCTTCTTTGAAGGCCCTACCATTCCCACCTCCACCCAGCTGCCCCATCTCCCCAGCTTTGCTTTGATGGAAGGTTAAGTTCTTCAACTCTGGCATAGGAAGGGGTGGGGGTGGGGAAGGCCCCTGGACTAGAGCCTCTTGGCGCCCTCCCCCTGCTATAGCCCTCATTCCTTCCCTGGCCATATAAAGTGAAGCTAAAAATAGCTGCTGACTTAAAGCCGGTTCACATACCCCAGCCCTGAAGAAGTAACTCACTGCCTGACTACCTGGCTGCCCCCACCGGGAGACCCACAGACTCCAGTCTTTGAAGGACTGTTTGTAACCCTGACTTTCCCTTTTCTTTTCTTTTTCCTCCTTCTCCTCCTCTTCCTTTTCCTCCTCTTCCTCCTTCTCTTCCTCCTCTTTCTTCTCCTCCTCTTCTTCCTCCTCCTTCTCTTCCTCTTCCTCCTCTTCCTACTTCTCCTCTTCCTCCTTCTCCTCTTCCTCCTCCTCCTTTTCCTCTTCTTCCTTTTTCTCCTCCCCCTCCTCCTCTCCCCTCTCCATTCCTTCCCTGTCTCTGTTTTGGAGATAGAGTCTCACTCTGAAGCCCTCAGCCTCCCAAGTGCTGATTACAGATGAAAGGCACCCACTGGGCTGTGATCCTTGCTTTCTGAAACTCTTGATCTGGGACCACTACCTTGGCCTCAGAGGTCTGTAAATACCCTGCATTTGGAGGGTGTGTACACACTCAGCAATGGACAAACTATACTTTCCCTGGGAGAGGTTTCCTCAGA